AAAGTCACAGCAGACTATACGGCCCTTTCCCTCCCAATGGGAAGTTCAGACATTGGCATTGAGAAATGCCGATATCAATACGAGGAATAAAGGCTGATGGCAATCAGAATCTAGTGGTGTTGGTAAAGGGAGGAGGTACCCAAGGAAAGCAATTTGGCAATGAAACCCAATTTTAGACTTGTTTTTATCTCTAAATGATACCATTGACTTGCAGAGCTTCACTGACATGACTGAAAGACTTTGTACATGGAGAGCTTGACAGTGTAGTCTCCTTTCCAGGCCACTTTGCCTACACAATGTATGCTCCATACATAATTTGTTTTTCATAAATCTTGATCTTTATCACCAATTGCATGATTTTATTGTTTTGTGGTTTTACATGTGTATATGTGTTTAAAACATTGATTTGTTAAGTGAAACTTTTCAAATATATCATGTTTTATAATTCTGTTTTTTCATTTTTCTATTTTCATTTTACTTTTTTATTAAACTAGGCTCCAGAAAATGGAAGTCAATCTGTCATCTCTTGACAGTGGAGAACTCCTGCTTTCAATGCAGGAAATGTTAGGGAACTCCCTGGTTAATTCCCAAATAACAGTGATTACTCTTTATCAAAGCCCTATTATAAGCCAGTTGCTTTACCCATATCCTTTAAAATTAAAAAAAAATTTAAAGCAAATGCATTATAGCAGACACTATAAAAAGTCAAATGAGGAAAAAAATAAGTTACTTGCAATACTGCAGGAAATCCCATCACTGGAGATCCATGTTAAGAGACAACCATATTGTCTCAGTGTCATGATATCTCAAAGTTGGATGAAGGGCCAACACTGCCTTCCTCCAGGTGATGGAGATTAGCATGGCAGAAAGGTAAGGAGAACACTTTTTAAGGGACTGAAGTTGAGAGACATCTCTGCAGTACTGCGCATGGCTCCTTTTTTTTTTTTTTTTTTTTTTTTTTTTTTAAGTAGAAGGGGCTTGAACTCATGACCCTGAAATTGAGACATGAACTGAGATGAAGAGTTGGGTGCTTAACTGCCTGAGCCACCTAAGTGCCCCCAGATACTGCTCCTCGGCAAGGGAATGTAATTCTGAGGTGCCAGTGAGGGGGCAAGGGCCTCATGGACCAGAAGTGGGGGCTGTCATTGGGTGACTTCTTGCCTCAAGCTGGCTGCCCTTAGCCTTTGCTTTCAGATGCAGTCTTTTCTGGTGAGATGTCGCAGGGCTCTTCTAAACCATCAGCCCCGCCTTGCTCACACCTAATGATGAAAGTCTGGGTGTGAGGGCAGTGTAAGCCCTGCCCAGAAGTCAGAGGGCTGGCCAGCTGTGCCATTGCTCAGACCCAAACAAAAGACCACGCTGTCGCTCTTTTCCCTGTGATTTTGCTCCTCTGTGGACCTATTTAGTGTATTTTCATTATGTCTCTCTCTCCCATTCCTGCCAAAGGTCAAGGGGAGGTATTTCACTTGGTGAAGACCTCTCCTTTACCTGGTGAAGATATCTCCTAGCACTGAAATATTTCAGGACAGCTGTAATTTACAGGCAGTTCGATGCTGTGTTTAAAGCAGGACCTTCATGAGCCCTGCATGTTCTGACTTTTAGAGTCCCCACCACGCAAAATATCAAATATACCAGCTGCACTCATATCCCACATTAAATATACTTTTTTGTTTTAAGAATCTTTGTAGTGTTTTTATATTTGTGCTTTAGAAATTATTAGGCTCCATGTTATACATTTAATTTATGATTGGTTATGAGTTCCCAACATTTACCGTGGACACTATGAATAGGGGAATTTGTGAAGTGAGAAAACTGAACCTATAAGTTGTATTTGATGGAATTAAATCCTTATGAATGCTGAATTTAATGGTGAATAAAGCTGGCATGTTGGTACATTTTCTAGACATTTAATTAAACATTTATTAATTTTTACATTTATTGTTTTCTTTTGTAGACTTGGAGCCAACAACTGTTTTCCTACCTGGGTCTCGTACATTTTTCTAGGCTTCTAGAAGCTCTTAGCTCAGGAATCTCATTGCATTGGTAAGATTCTTACAGAATAGTAACTCGCAAACACTTTGGCTTCAGGACCCTTTTATACTCTTAAAAATTATCAAGGGCCCCAAAGAACCTTTTTATTTTTAAGTGTTGGTTGTATCTACTAATAATTATTATATTAGAAATTACAACTAAGAAATTTAAAAATCACTTATCTACTAATTTATTTTAAAATAACAATAATGAACTGGGGGCGCCTGGGTGGCTCAGTGGGTTAAGCCTCTGCCTTCAGCTCAGGTCATGATCTCAGGGTCCTTGGATCGAGCCCCACATCGGGCTCTCTGCTCAGCAGGGAGCCTGCTTCCCCCCCTTCTCTCTGCCTGCCTCTCTGCCTATTTGTGATCTCTCTCTTTCTCTCTCTCTCTCTGTCAAATAAATAAATAAAATCTTTTAAAAAAATAAAATAAATAAAATAACAATAATGAACTGATTAAAACTTACATAATTCACATTTTTTGGTGATAATTATATTTTCCAAAAAAAAAAAAATTCAGTGGGGACAGTGACATTTTTGCAAAACTCTTTAATGTGTGACTTAATGGAAGACAGAGTATCATAACCTCTTCTGTATTCAATGTGTTGCCATAAACATATGTTTTGCTGGTGTTGTTAAAAAAAAAATTTAGCCACTTGCAGATATGTAGTTATAAAAGGGAAAGGTACTTTAATGGGCTCCTTTTTTAAAAGATTTTATTTATTCATGAGAGACAAAGAAGCAGAGGCGGAGGGCAAAGCAGGCTCCCTGCTGAGCAGGGAGCCAGATGTGGGACTCAGTTCCAGGACACTGGGATCATGACCTGAGCTGAAGGCAGAAGCTTAACCATCTGAGCCAACCAGGCGCCCATTTAGTAGACTTTTTTTGGTACTAAATCAAAACTTGACTGCCGGTTTCTTAAAGTTGGTTGTAATGTGGAATCTGAGACCATATCAATGAAATTTTCATATTATGTTACCTTAGAATCCATTGGCTATTTTGCACTGAAGTCAGTGTTTTGCCTGTGTATAATTTTGCAACATGATGTATTGGGCATTTGGAAAATGGTGATTTACTGAATTATGCAGATCATCCAGGTGTTAAAATATTTCTTTATATGACATCAAAATATCACTTTCATTAATGCTACCATAAATCTCATCAGAAAAGGCTTTACGTATTGGAAAGCTGGAAAGTTAATGATGGCATATATATTTTCCAAAATCCTATTTTCCATGCGAAAGCTTGAATATTACTATTGGCAACATATACTGTCAGTTGCTTTCCTTTACATAACAGACTCATTTACTTAATTTTTGAGAACATGTCTGCCCATTACTCAAGTCTGAATGTCCATAGTTTTCCATTTGCTCTTTCATGTACAAATGGTAATCTGTGAAAAAAGTTTAGTTTGCATTCAACAACTCAGCCGGTGCCTTTCCTTAAGACAACCATGGTACTTGGACATGTGTAGAAGTACATTGATCTTCACATTTCCCCATGTAGAGTCTTTATTATTATTATTATTTTGAGAGAGAGTACATATGCGCTTGAGTGGGGGAGGGGCAAAAGGAGAGGGAAAGGGAGAATCTCAAGCAGGCTCCAAGCCCAGGGTGGAGCTCAGTGTGGGGCTTGATCTCACAATCCTAAGAGCATGACCAGAAGATCACAGCCTGAGCCAAAATCAAGAGTCAGTTGCTTAACTGACTGAGCCACCCCGTTGCCCCTCATGCAGAATCTTAAAAAGACATGTGTTTAAGGGCTGAAATTTAATAAAATTAATCATTTTTTTCTGCTTCATCAAAGACATGCTTAAGTGAAACGACATTTTTTTTTTCTCCTGTGAGTGGGTGACATTGGAGAATGCAATGGCCACTAGCATGGTTTGGTGGCAGCTTTTTGCACCTTTTCTTTTGCACCAATGTGTAAATACATTGGAAGAAAAAAAGAATGTCTTGGTGTTATTATGAATACTGTTTTGACCTTGTGGGTCCCCTGTCAAGCTCTGGGATCCAGAGTTCCACAAACCTCACTTTAACAGCTGCTGTGATACACAGCCCTGATGTATGTACCAGACAGTGGCAGGTACATAATACATGTTCAATCACTTGTAGCTAAAACCATGTTTTCTCTGCCTTACTAAGCATCATTTTGATCTTTTTTCTTAAAAGATTTTATTTATTTATTTATTTTTTGAAATCATGAGCCAGGGAGAGGGGTAGAGAGAGGGAGAGGGACACGCAGACTCCTTGATGAGCAGGGAGCCCAATGCAAGGGCTTGATCTCATGACCTGAGTGGAGGTCAGATGCTTAACCAACTGAGCCATGGAGGCACCCCTTCATTTTGCTCTTTTAAAAAACAAGGCTACGGGGCACCTGGGTGACTCAGTGGGTTAAGCCTTTGCCTTCTGCTCAGGTCATGGTCTCAGGGTCCTGGGATTGAGCCCTACCTTGGGCTCTCTGCTCAGTGAGGAGCCTGCTTCCCCTGCTCTCTCTGCCTGCCTGTCTGCCTACTTGTGTTCTCTCTCTCTCTTTCAAATAAATAAATAAAATCTTTAAAATAAATAAATAAAATAAATAAAATAAAAACAGGGTTAATATTACTCACCTCAATAGGTAGGTAGTTGTGGAGCTTAGAGGAATCAAAGTCTAAGCAAAGATGCCTAGAACAGTGTCCGGTACATAAGATATGAGTGATAAATGCAAAATATTATTATTAATATTGCCAATAATAGGTCATATAAAACTTTTCCTAGAGAGTACCAGTAGGATCCCTTCATATTTCTACTGCCAGTGCTTGACTGGACTCTCTTTCCTTTTATTATTTATTTATTTATTTGAGAGAGAGAGAGAGAGAGCGCCCAGAGTATGGACATCTAACTCAGACTCACTACCAGGAAAAGATTTGTGGAGGAATCAGCATTGGAACTGAGTTCTATGAGATATATACTGAGCTACATGAGGCATGTACATGAGTGCTACATGAGGTGTGTACGCATGTGCACATGCACTTTGTGGGGAGGGAAGAGGGCAGAGAGAGAATCAGAGAATCCTAAGCAGGCTCCACTCCCATCCAGGAGCCTGATGTGGCACTTGATCTCATGACCCTGAGATCATGACCTGAGTGGAAATCAAGGGTCAAATGCTTAACCAACTGAACCACCCGGGCATCCCAAGGGCTCTCTTTCCTACTGAGACTTGTACATGAGTACCTCTTTTTCCTTTTTATATTCATCCTTCAGGCCAAGGCTCCTGCTGCTTCTGGGATTTGCTCCTGTGTGTTCTGGGACAAGGCCTCTACCAGGAATTCCCACTTGTTCGAGGGCCAGCTCTCGAAATCTAGTCTAGACACCCTAACGAGGTGGAGGATGTAATTACACCTTGAAACACTCTGTGTACCAGTAACCCAGCTTCTCATGTGTGTGACTCAAGCTCCAAGAGGTCAGTGAAATCTAATGATTCATATGTCCAGATAAAGTGGAAGTAGAAACCTTGAGGTCCAGGGTCCAGTTGCTTTTAGCACACAGCGTTTTTTTTTTTTTTTTCCTTGAAACCAATTTTTCCATCAGTTCAGTTGAGTTTAGAGCAACAAATGTGTCTTGTGGAACTCCTAGATACACACGCTGTGTATCCTGCTCCGTGTACCACACCGTGGCAGCTGCTGGGCGGATTATTCTCTGGGCTGCCTCATACTCATCCCTGCTTTCCCCTGCCCTTCCCTGTGCCTGGGAGGCCATCTTTATTGCCAGCATCCCCATTCTCTTCCCCTCTGGCCTCCTGTTGGATTCCAACTGTGGCAGGGACTAGTAGGACAGAGATTAGACAGAGGAGAAACAGGTCGCTGCTCCCTACTCCTAGCTGGTTCTCCTTTGGCCCCAGTTTCTGTCTGGTGACTCCTCTTCCACCATTGCAGTTGGCGATCTCTCTCACGTAATCTGGTAAGGCCATTTTCTGCTCTTGTCCCTTCCAGTGGGTTACAGCCTCCCTCCTTGGCTAGTCCCTGGCACATCACTACGCTTGCCATTCTCTTGTCCTGCCTGCCCACATCCTTGAGCCCTCCTTCATGATGCTCTTTCCAGTGAAGTCTTTGTGCATGCCGTCTGTTCTCTGGCTGGACCCTGACTGACACCAATAGGATCCTGCCCCCAAGAAGCTCACCATCTGTTTGTTACCCCAAATCTCAGTCAAGTGCAAGCCATGTCGCAGCTGTTCCATCTAAGAACTGGCCCCCTGCTAGCGCACAACTGAATCCTACTTTCCTTCAGGTAAAAAAGAGGCTTTTATAACCAGCTAAATATAAAATGAATATACTTCCCAAAATATAAGACAAGGATAAAAGAACAACTTAGTGAAAATCGACCCCAGGATTATTGTAGTTAAGAGCCTATGTATGGATGCTCTGCTTAGTCTGGAAACTTCCCACCTATACGACTGTGATGAAATCACGTAACTTCTTTGTGCCTCAGTTTCTTCATCTCAAAAAAGAACACCATGATTCTATCTACTTCCTAGGGTTGTGAGGATTCACTGGATTAATTTATGTAAGCATATGTAAAGCTTAGAACACTGGCAGGCACACAGAAAGCTCTGCATGGATTTAAGCCACCATTATTGGATGACGATGATGATGGTATGGTGATGGAGTTCTCTGACTCGGGTTCTGAGCTGGAGGGTTATTAGCAAGGGGGTGAGACTCATCAGCCCCAGACTGTGGCTCTCTCCTTGACATAATAGGAGTTTGGAAAGGACTGTCTTATTTTGTGGCTCCATGTTTTTTGTTTCCCTCTGTACCATCTGAAATTATTGATATAACACAACAATTTGTCCCGGGGACCAGCAGCGGATCATCTCCTTACACCTTAGGAAACACAGTCAGGGAAACTAATAACTGTATTGTCACAGCAAACAAAGAATAAGCAAAATGTAAGAAACAGCACAGAGGGATGAGTGACAAACATGGGGTGGAGATCTGAGGGGGAAGCCATTGACCAGGCTTATCAGAGTCTGATTTGGGGTTGGAAAATGCAGAGGAAGGTTTCTCAGGGGTAGAGGGAATAGCCTCTTTGCAGGAAGGTGCATAACTTAGCAGGTATGTTCAGAAAAGGACAGTATTCATAAAGAAGTAATGACTCCCTAACAAAAAGAGGCAGCAATGGCTGAAGAAGAACTATCTAGAGCAGCGGTTCTTAGCATGTGGTTCCCAGAGCTGCAGCATCAACAAGACTTAGGAACTTGTTGGAATGCACATTACTAGGCTCCCATCTTCCTGAATCAGGAACTCTGGGGATAGGACCCTCCTGGCAGACTGGGAGTCTAAATGCGTGCTAGAATTTGAGAACCACTGGCCTAGAGGAAGATGGGAGAGTACTGACAGTAACAGAGCGGGAGATTTTGCACCCAATACCAGTGAGGGCCCTTTGATGAGCACTTTTTCTGTGGCAAGTTTTGTGCTAGTCACTCTACCCGTTCTGCCTCCTGTAATCCTCACAACAACCCTGACAAGTAGATACACTCTTATGCCTATTTTATGAATGAGCACATGGAATCTTGGGTTGGAATTTGATAACCATTTTACCCCCAAGGCAATAGAACCTAGAATAATGAGGCCATTGGGTGGTTGAATGAAAGCCAGAGGATGGCTTCAAAGTGATTGTCAAAAGATTGCCTAAGAGGGCACCTGGGTGGCTCAGTGGGTTAAGCTTCTGCCTTTGGTTCAGGTCATGATCTCAGAATCCTGGGATCGAGCCCCACATCGGGCTCTCTGCTTAACGGAGAGCCTGCTTCCTCCTCTCTCTCTGCCTGCCTCTCTGCCTACTTGTGATCTCTGTCAAATAAATACATAAAATCTTTAAAAAAAAATGGCCTACCTGTGGAATTTGAGAAACAACAAAAATGATCATAGGAGAAAAGAGAGAGGCAAAGCAAGAAGCAGACTCTTATAGAGAACAAACCAAACTGATGGCTAGCAGAGGGGAGCTGGGTGGGGGCAGGGCTGAAATAAGTGATGGGGATTAAGGAGTTCACTTGAGCTGAGCACCTGGTATTCTATGTAAGTGTTAAATCACTAAATTGTATACCTGAAACTAATATTGCACTGTATATTAACTAACTGGAATTTAAATACGCTCCCCCCATCCCCCAGAAAAGATTGCCTATAGCAGCATTGTCCCATGAACTTCTGTGATGGCGGTAAAGTTCCACATGTGCCCAGTCTGATACGATAGCCACAAGCCACATGTAGTTAGTGAGTTGACTAATGACTGCTAGTGTGACTACTGTCACCAAGGAACTGAATTTTACATTTTATTTAATTTTAATGAATTTAAATACAAATAGCCAGATGGGGCCAGTGGCTACCATCTCGGACAGTGCAGATCTAAAATCTTAGAGCAAGTAAGTTCAAGGGCAGGACTTGACCTTAGGTCTGACTCCCAAAGTCATGGGTTTGTCCGCTATTGCTCCTAACATAGAGCATCTCTTGCCCATTGTCTGAGAAGCCCTGGGATTTTTCCTGGTCAAGGCCCCAGGAAATTACCTCCCTGACCTGCGGTGGCTCTTTAAGTACCATATCCTTAGCTGATTAGTGTTTGCTCCATGGTTGGAAGTAAAGCATAGAAAGTAGTCACACAGGCTAACCCCAAAATGTTCCCCATGTTATGGGAGACCACTGACTGATGGCTGTCAGATCAAAGAGGTTTTGCATACTGACATCATCTCTTCCTGAGATTTTTACTGGGCCCCCCACCCAACCCTTAGTTCAATATTCGACATCGGGTGGCCCAACTAGAGACTCTAGGAGGTCTTCTGGAAAAGATATTTCTTAAACTGAATTCCAGAACTAGAGCACATTTTATTTTTGACTTTCTTGATTCTCCGTGGAGCTGATGGAACATTGCAAACTCCTGCTCCCAGGAATTCTTGGCCTCCTCAGCCCTATAAACTGTCCAGATCCACCCCCTGCCTCTCTCTCCATCATCCAATGACCTCATTATTCTAGGCCAGGGGTTGGCAGAGGTTTTCTGTAATGAGCCAGGTAGTAAATATGTTAGACTTTGGGAGCCATGGAAGGTCTGTTTCATATTCTTCTTTGCTTGAGTTTATTTTTTCCCCCTTTTTTGCTTGTTTTTTTGTTGGTTTTAAAGGCAACCTTTTAAAAATGTAAAAACCATTCTTAACTCTCAGGGAGAATTTGACTCAGCAGCCATAGTTTAATCCCTGTCCTATGCTCTCTTGAGAACAAATATTTTTCAGACTTCAGCAGGCACCAAGGATATTCTAGGCAAGCTCATCGACACCACAGATCCCTGTGTTCCTCAGAGATCATGGTTTAGTGGCATTGAGCTAGAGTGCAGGAACTGTATGGTCGGTTAAACAAATATTGTAAACAACAGTTCTAATACAAATGGCCCATGGTCCACCTTTTGAGAAAACCAGTCAGAGGTGCAAGGGCTGTTTGAGCTCATTCAGTGATCAGCCCCATCAATGGACAGATCAGGGAATCAAGGTCCAAGCCAGGGAAGGGAAGGGACCTGGCCTGAGACTTCCAGCCTTGGGGCCCCAAATAGAGTGAGCTGTAGGAGGAAGATGGCACTGCCAAAGGCAGAACAAGAAAATGGAGAGAAACTTGGATCTTTGGTGATTTAATTTAGCTGCCAGGAGCAAGCCTCCCCTGAAGGTCGCCATACCGAGGCGCTTTCAACAAAACCTCCTTTATTGCTTAAGCCACTTTGAGTCCGATTCTCTGTTGCTGGCAGTTGAAAGCACCCTAACGGATACAGACCCCTCTTTCCACCCGTCTTCTTTGATCCACCTCTTTTGAGAGAACCGTCTTTGAAGGAATACTCCCAAGGCATCATCCAAATGTTTAATCCTTTAAATGTCAAGGCCTTTGTAATAGGCTGGGTAGGTCACACATACCTCCCTGCACCTGAAGGCAGAGTGCGCAGAGTTGAATTGAAAGTGGGCCAGGGCTGGAATTGGGAACATTTGGCTTGTAATCTTGCTTCTATCATCACTGTGAGTGTTTGAAATGGGCAAATCACTGAATTCTCCGGGCCTGGCTTTCTCATCTGGAAAGTGACAGGGGTGGAAGGAATAGTTTTTGAGGTCCCTTTTGTTCTAAATATTCCCATTGCATTCTAATTGTCAACACTCTCTCCTTGATGTTTCTAAACTCACTCCTTCCCTCTCCCTCTTCCTCCCCATCCATTCTTTGTATTATTTCTCTTCCACTCTCTCTATCTCTCTCTCCCACTTCCTTCCTCCCTTCCTCTCTTTTTCCTTCCCTTCTTTATTCCTCCCTTCTTCCTTTCTTCTCCTCCCTTCTCTCTTTCTTTCTCTCCCCTTCTCTTCCCCTCTTTTTTTTTTCTTCCCAGAGAAGAAACACAAGAAGCCCCCAGAGCATTGACTTTGGCCCATTCTATTCTTTCCTGACCGAAATTATATCCCTGAGGGGCTCATATGTATTTGCATTTGAATCAACAACCCTCAAAGATTTCTCTAGGGAACTTGAACATTTCCTTCCTAGTTTGAAGAATGGAGCTAATGGACAAAACATGAATTTTGATCAGGTGGAAACACATTTTATTTTTTCCATTTGGTTAAAAAAAAAATCAGACAAGTCCATAGCACAGCAACAATGATGAAAAAAAAAAAAAAAGAGAGAGAGAGGCGCTCACAGTTCATTGTGGTAGTGGTGGTGGAGTCCCAGACCCCGAGAGAGTAGCTACCCACCTCTTAGCAGCTTTTTCTCTTTGCCGAGGGAGGAGGACTTTACCTTGTTCCACCTTCAACATGTTGTGACAGGAGCCAGGGAAGCCTACATGATTGGAGCTCACACTCACGTGAAATCATTCTCGTTTGAGTTTTAATAACGTTTATTCTTTTTTCCTTTAAATCCTAAAGTATTACACATTCAAAGCAGAAAATGAAGCAAAATAGAAAACACACAAAAGAAAGAAGCAGAAACACAAATCACCAGTAATCCCACAACCCGGAGATGACCACATGTGGTTTTTAACTGTTTTGTTTCAATAGTTTCTTTTCCAATCACTAAAGCAATATACGCTCAATGCTCAAGCAAATGCTAAAAGGAAAAATTAATCACAGCTAATCCCATAGCCAACAACAGTCGCCTGGACTCTGAATGCCCCACCCTGCCCAGCCCTCCCAGCCGGGCCCCATGAGCCCGGATTTCGTGTTCTGAGAACTGTGGGCATTGGGCCTGGCAAAGGGGCATAGCATATTTGGTTCAGTGCTTTGGAATGATGTCCCCCCGAGGGCTGGACCCAGGGGAGGGTCTGTGCACATGAAAACCAGCTCTGCAGAAACACACAACCACCAGCGCTCCCCTCCCTGCATCAGAATTTAAACAGTGTCTGGAACTCTACCACAAGAGCTGTTTCTAACTGGTTGGAATGCCGCTTGTACTCATAGGCGGTAATACGGCCTAAAACAGTTTTGTTGTTGTTGTTGTTTTAGTTTGCAGAGTTAGCTTCTGATGTCATAATATAATTGACTCTCTTTCTCTCCAAACCGTTCCTTTTTCTGTCTTTGTTACTTCTGCTTAAAATGAACCATCAATGTATCTAACACCCAG